TGACTTTGGCATTAAACGGCTAATTGACCTTGACAGGGTAATCCAGCACATCTCTTAAACTGCTCTCCATTTAGTGCCTCTAAAACAACACCTTTGTTTCATTGCTTTGCAGCTGTCACATTCTACTAAAATGTATTTACTTATCTGTGCTGTTGTGCTTCAGATTTGGTTTCAGAACCGCAGGGCTAAGTGGAGAAAGGCTGAAACCATGAAGGAAATAGAAGTGATGACCAGCCAGCATTTAACCAGTCATCCCTTACTTTATTATGAGGTACTATGACAAATAATAAAATATGGTTTTCAGTGTAAAACAACAGGAAAATTATAGATTTTTTTCCCCTCTTTGTCTCTTCCAAGAAAGCGCCTCTAGAATCAATGTTCTGGCTGTCTCGTTGGACACCTGACCCGGTGCAGTCGAGGCTGTACTTCAGATCCACCCCGACGCAGGCAGCTTTGACCAGCACACACTCCTACCCCCACATTCAGCGAAATCTCTGCTATGACATAATAATTGCCCCCTAAATGTCTTAAAATGTAAAAATATTTTTATATATATTTTTGTAAGAAAAAACTTTATGCATTATTGTACCATAGTCAACAGAATGTCCCTTTAATTGTAAAAAAATGTGTTACATTCTATGCTGTACGTGCAAAGTGAGATAAGACTGCAGGTATGTAACTAACTAAATGAGCTTTTCATTTACCAATAAACTGAACTTCTAAAGGAGTTCTGCTTCTTTCTTTTGAAACATAACACCCTAAATCTCCCCCCATGTATAGTTTTTGTTCAGCTTAAGCTTTATAAACTATACTCTAACATGTCTCTTATGTTATTTTAGAGGACAACGCTGAGCTTTTTTTCATGACGCCAAACTTCCTTGTAAAAGATAAGATAGGACCATGTCATGAGAAGTTCATCTGTTTGACTCTCTGACAACCTCTCCTTATCTTAATTTGGACTTGCAAGATGAGGTTGCTTGCAGGTCAGCTCAATGATTTGGAGAGCTTGTCAAATCAGTCCAAAGGCGAAAATATCACCTAATGCAATATCTTTATAACTGTGTGCTTACTTCAGATTACAAAAACACACAAAAAACAACTTTAGAGCATGTCAATGTTGGAAAAAAGTTGTTTCTTTAAAGCAAGAGAAACAAATGTAAAATCATTTTATAACAGTGATCTGAACTAATCATACCTCTATATTAAAGTCAGTTATGCATAAATTATTGCAAGTTCTGAGAAACATTGCAAATCACCACCTTGATGATCAAATCAGCAACTGTTTTAATAGAACCAGGGCTGATTATAGGTTTATGAGAAAGGCTAAACTTTTCACCCCGCCATATCTTTTGTTTACAGCCCGTATGAGTAATTTATTGCCGACTGCAAAGCCAGAGTTAAAGACGACGAAAATAGTTGGCATGTAGCAACAGATAACCTTGACCACTGTTTTACAGCAATTTATCACATTGTGGGTAGTATAATTAATTAGAGATAACTGTTAATAGCCAGGGACCAAATTAGATCATGGTTAAGGCAGAACACTAAAATAGGTAGCTGTTAAAAGTAATTCCACCCTTTTCAGCGGAAATCTTTTTACCCATTTTATCTGTGCCCCTCATTTATCAGATATACTTTGACACCAGAGCAAAAAGCCCAGAATATAACTGACCTTGTTTTCCTGTGGACCAAATATCCTACAAACACCCCCTAACATGGATGACTAATGCTAAGTAAAGTAGACTAAACCATGTAATAAATTACCTAATACATAAAACAGTTTCGTGACAAGTTGGCAGCCTTTGCAGGGTAGATCAGTAGACTGCTAGAGATAATATGGGAGATACAACAACCTTTGTGGCTGAAGGGAGGAGCATGGGGGTTGGGGTATTAATATTATATGCTCTGAAATAAAAACAAAAAACAAAAAGTAATTAATGAGATAAAAAAAAATACATAACAAGCACAAAGCAATTTTACGGGATAAAAATAATGATTTTGGATCCCTCTCACAATGGCTGCATTAAAGTACAAAAGACTGCAGGTAAACAGAGAACAGCCAGGCATAAACAACAACAGAAAAAGAGTAAACCAGACCAAAAATAAAACAGAATTTGTCATTATGTTGTTTTAGAACAGTAAGCAAACACTTCAAAAACATGAGAGAAAAACAAACAAAGAGGAAGCAGTTTTCAAAGGATTAGTTAATTTATTAGGGGAAAAATGTCTATCTATCTATCCATCCATCCATCCATCCATCCATCCATCCATCCTTCCATCCATCCATCCATCCATCCATCTATCTATCTATCTCTCTATCTATCTATCTATCTATCTATCTATCTATCTATCTATCAGTCTATCTGTCTGTTAATTTATTTGTATTATTGCACATTAGTGGGCATTGCAAATCACCATAGGTTATACTTGTTTCATTAAAGGTAATAATAACACATTAGAAGGTCTAAAATACATATAAATATGGGGCTAAAAAGCACTGGTGTAACTTTCTGAAGGACTGGGGTGGACACGTTCCCACCAACTTTGGCATGGAGGGGACAGTCCCCACCAATACTTTCTGCTTTTTTCCCCCTTTTCACTCATTTCCTTTAGCCAACAGTTAAGGGGAGAGACACAGCAGCATTTATGCAGCATTTATGTTTCAGTAAAAGTTAGGAGAGGGGTTGGTTAAAAAAAAATAGAGATCATGCTACCGAGAAATCTGTTTGTTACACATATGGAGCTTTTTCAGCTAAAAATGGCAAGAGAGTGTACCTTTATATAATTTAAAAGGCTTTGCAGAGGACCATTACTCAGAGTTATTAAAATGATCACATATCAGTTGTTTTCTTATTTAACAGAGAATCAGACTGCAGAACTTCTAGATATCTTGAAAATGTGTTTCTCTGGCATCATTATATTGGTAGACAGGTTCATAAATCTGTTTTTAAGCAGAGAAGAGACACAATGAGGGAGAGCTTCATATTTAAATGTGAATCAGATTTACTGGGATATGCAACATGCAATAAAATATGTCCCCAGGTTTACAAGAAAAAAATATGCAATGCTATAATAAAACTCAACATATCTTTTTGTCTTTTGTAGTTCAACAAGACTCAGAAATAGCTATTCCAGCCAACCCAGGGACAGCCAGACACACAGGACACAGACTTAAAATTAAAATATAAGAAACCTACTAGAATTAAAGCAAAAATAATAAAAATCAGTGCATAAATGACTTTTGAAATGTAAGGTTCAATACATAGAGTTTAGCAATCAACGACATATGGAACACATTTCTAAATTTGATTTTGCTGCTTGTGAAGGAGGATAATCAATGATGTAGCTGAAAGGGAAGCCATGCATGGATGGATGTATGAATTAAAGTTGTGTTCATACTAGGGATGCATGATATATTGATGTTGCCATTGGTATCGGCTGCACTGAAAAAAATAATGCAACAATTTCTGGCATTTACTTAATCATATTTAGTTACTTTAACACAATTGTTTAATGTTAGGAGGGAAGGACAATTTTGTTAAAGAAACTAAATATGATTAAGTGAATGCCAAAAGTGGTTGCATTAATTCTTTCAGTGTTATTCATGATTTTTTATACATTAATGTTTTGAGCCCTTTATAAATGATGCACTAAAGGCAGGCATTTGTCTAGAACTATAAATATCAGTGTACTGTGGTATTATTGTGTTCTCAACAATAGGAAAGCATTCAATAAATATATGTTTGAGCTAATTTTTGGAAAATACAAACCCTATTAAAAGCGTTCGGGTTGAGTAGCTGTAGGTCCACTAGCCACCACCCTTAGAGCGTCCCCAACAACTTTTATAGCATAGTGATACCCTTATGGCAAACCATTTTAACATAAATTTGGTTGTAATGCCTTTACATTCAAGATATCTCAAATTGTTTTATGACTAGACGTTTTAGCGATTTAAGATATCTCTAATTATATTTTCCCTAGTCAAAATACCTATTCGAGATATCTCTAAATACATTCTGACTATTTGAAATTATGTCAGATTTACCATTAACGTGTATGGAGGAGTCAATTTAAGATATCTAGAATGAATTACTAACTAGTAATAAAGTAATTTCAAGATATCCCGAGTTTAGTTTTGACTAGTCATAATTCTAATTAAAGATATCTTAAATGGCACGATAATTCATGATATCTTAAATGTATTTTAGGATAGGAGAAATGCAGTTTTGACTAGTGAAAACTAAATTATAGATATCTTAAACTTGAATTATTCAGCTTTTCCATTAAAGCTATCTTAAATTGACATTCTGACTAGTCAAAATATGTAATGATTTTTTGGGCTTCCAGGAGGATCATTCGTTAAAAAAAACCTTACTGTCAGTTTAATCCACAGGAGGAAAAGTTAAATCAGCTCCATTTACTGTTATTTTCAGCGCCCCTACATATGAATTACTGACATGTGACACTTTAAATGAATAATCCGCTGTCGTAATTTGAGATATCGCGAAAGGAATTTTCACTAGTCAAAATGTCATTTAAGATATCTTGAATTATTATGCTACCTAATCAAAATGTAAATACAGATATCTTAAATTACCATTCTGAATAGCCAAAATGTGTTTTTTTTCTACTCAAAATGTTTTTTAAGATATCTGGAATGTAATTATGGATGGTCAGACGAAACCGAATTTATGTTAAAATGGCTTGCCATACTCCCTTGCTTTAAAGAACAGTTGAAAATGTTTGAATAGAGAATTGTGGGCTATCAAAACCTGCTACACCTCAAAGTTACCAACAGGTGGCGCCCTTCAACCCATGAATAAGCAGAAATGATGCCATCCTTTCAGCTGAGTGTCATCAACACTGACCTTGTTTTCATTTGGTGATTTTATCGTTTTTATTCCTCGTTATTTTATTGCATATAGAAATTAATGGAAATATACGAGCCATGTTATGACTTTCCTTCTGGGATATTTTCTCCCCGCTGCTTCCTCTCAGGAGAGAGGAGAGGATAGGAGGGGCAGACACTCAGGATCTTTCAGCCTCCGCCCGCCTCTCTGCCTCTGCCTCCACCCGACACGACGGCGCAATACACCTACAGGGGTGGGGGGGCACACAGACACACTGCGGAAAGAGGGGCGATGGCCGCCGGTGGAGGATGCGGGGAATCGGTGGATCAGTACCGGGCGGAGGTGGAGAGGCTCACCCAGGAGCTGGCCGAGGCCAACCGGGAGAAGATCCGGGCTGCGGAGTGCGGGCTGGCCGTCCTGGAGGAGAACCAGGCGCTGAAGCTTAAATATGCAGAGCTGGAAACCGATCAAGACATTCTCAGGAGGGAGCTGGAGCAGTTACAGGAGGTAAGAGTTTGAGCGCAGTGCGCACAGCTGTGCGTAAACTTGTGAGCCTGTCAGAACAAGCGCTAATCATCTGGGAGGGTCCTCCTCCAGCAAAACAACAATCATTAATCTGATCTCATGTATGAGTAAAAAACTGAAAATCCTTCTAACTGAATATTAATATAAGCTCAATATAGGAAGCTGTTGATACTGTTTAAATAGGACTGAAGCCTGTAGGCCCATTCCAAACTCTGGAACTATGCGCCTCAATAAATAATATATGTCTATATAAAAAAAGAGAAGGAGAGAGAGAAGACTGGATATAAAGGTAAGCATTGATATAAAGACATCATAGGGGTTTGCGCTCAAACAACATTATTCTTTACTGGGTTTCATTGAAATCTTTGCATAGATGCCTAAACAACAGAACATGCTGTTGACATGAAAGACCCTAACTGTCATCCTGTTTCCAAGACTGGACCAATAACCCATGTTATGTATAGAAATACTCTCCATATGGAATGCAGGGTTTCTCTTTATTCATACATGAATACAGGATGCAGCAGGTAACAGGATGTTGTTGATGGCATGACTTTGTAGCTGAAGGTTGTGGAGAGCAAACAAGGCAAGATGAGGAGAAGGGGAAGCTTTTTGCCAGGGGTGGAGCTAGATGGGGGGCCATGGGGTGGCCATGGACACCCTTAGCCAATCATCGGCCACCCCTGCCATTTTCCCCTCTAATACAGACTGTGGCAGCAGTAATACTCCGTTCAAACTTATTAAACATTCAAATTTTGCATATGTTAACAACTGCTTGACAACAGAAGCACTGCGGTTAATTATGCACATCAATATACAAACATTAAAGATGATAGATACAGAATTCGTGCTCTTTTCAGAACTAAATTTTGAATCATTTGGGGTAAAGATTAAATTATGTGCCTCTGCAAGTCATCTAGAAGTCTTAAAGCTACAGTGTGTAATTTTCAGCGACATCTAGCGTCCAGACTGCAGACCGCAGCAACATGAACATCTCCCCCCCACCGCTTCTCCCCCCCAACAGTACGGCGAGCGTTACGGGACAAAATGTCTTCCACGACGTCCGCATCACCTACCTTCTCAAGTGATGAGGTTTGTTTACATAGATCATTTTAATACTGCCATCTATTGTTCAGTACCGTCTCAGTTCATCTCTCTCAACTTGCCGTAGTTACTTTCGAGCGTAATGGGCGCTCTCGCAATCGCTAGTTTGTTGGGTCTGCGCTGCCGTAGCGCAAAGATGTCTGCCTCCATGGCTGCAAGACCCGCTCCTATGTAATTATAAATAACGAATTCTAAGGCAACGCAAATATTAAGGTTAAGAGGCTGAGCTCGTAGATGATGATAAATAACATAGTTATGTATAATACATCACATTTCTGACTGTATATCCCTGTAATTATTACACACTGTAGCTTTAAGTGAAATCATAGATAAATAACTACTTCAATAATAAGATACAAATTCATTAAATGTGGTTATTAGTAGGTAATGAAAATTGAAATACAGTATGTTCGCCCCAGAACTCAAACCTGAAAGAATTTTGTCCACCTTTTATTTACACAGCATAGATATTTAAATATATGCATCTATTTGTTAGCAAAGGTTTCAGGAAAGTATAGTTTGTCTTTATTTAGAAAATATTGATGTTGTGCTTATTCCTGTTGCAACAGTGTAGATTGACCCTGAGGTGCATTTCGGCCCCCCCTCAATGTACATTGGTTATTGACTGGCCACCCCTATTAGGATTTTCTGGCTACGCCTCTGCTTTTTGCTGTATACTTGCTGCAAACCTTTTTAGCTGTAACTGCTGGTCTTTTGGAGCTGAGTTATATAAAAACCCACTGTTGCTCTGGCTGTGCTCCTGCTGGATGATCAAACTACACCACATGTCAAACGACACCACAAGTATTGGCCTCTAGGTGATATTCGTTTTTCCTTCAGCTCCTTAAGTCCTTTAAATTACTAACTAAAACATCTCAACTGCATGATAATGCCTCCACTACGCCTCACTGTGGGGAGGATATGTTCAGCATGGCGTACAGTGTTGATTTGCCAACAAATCCTATTTTGCCCATTTTGGCGACATGAATTTCTAAAATAGCTTGTTGCCGATACTGACAGAATTATCTAGATTAAGGTACTGCTGTGCCAAATACCCAGATACGCTCATTATACAATTTATTTTAATTATTGAAATTTAGCTTTTTTTTTATAACCCGTAAGACACATTTTCTTTGGATTTTTAAAAAAATATAAAAATAATAAATAATAATAAATGAAATTTGATATCTACCTGCTATAGTTGTCTAAAATATGGATAACAATGTAAGGGATTAAAAATACAAAAGTAAATTTGTCCTGCTTGTTTATACAAACTTGGCCAGTTGATCCTGATTCTGGTGTTTTTTTGCCACCTCAATCAAACTTTGAATGTACTTCTGTGTATTTTTATATTACTGTGGTTATTCTACGTTGAATTAAACTAAACATCATACTTGCACTACATAGTGTATCTTCAAAATAGAACTCAACTCAGTGTTTGTACTGCATTTTGCACCATATATATTTATTTATCTTTGCACTGCTCTGAACCTTCCATATCAATGCCTTTTGCACCATGTCTCTTTTACATTGTTTACATTTTGATCACTGCTGCTTTTTACAAATGGAAATGTTCATTCACTGCCTAGCTGCTGCTCTTTCACGGTCGAAAAGCTGTATACCGTATATCAAAATTTAGTTTTGTATACACTCTGTGTATACAAAATTACAATAAAGTTTTTCTAAGTCTAAGTAAATTTAGCCCAATCAAAGACTGAGTGTGTATTGTATTTAATTATATTTTTCAATGCAGTATCAGTGTGTCAATATTGCAATTGTAAGGAGCTTCTTGGATGCAATATTGAGAGCACTATTATGTTTCAGTTACCCTGCAATAATGGACTTGTAGATATAAAGTGATACAGAATTTGGTTATTCAGACCCTAAAGATCACAGAGTAGGTTAGAGAGAATGATGGGAAATAGGGACAAATCTGGCTTATTGTAGCTCACATGTTTTATAGTAATTTGATGTTTCCTTCATGTTTTGTAGCCCCGATTCCAAGTGATTGTCTTTAATAAGGTTTTTATGGTTTCTAAGCTTTTTTAATTGTCTCTCTAAGACCTTAAATTGACCTTTTCTCATTTAACAAAAATCAATAAAGGCTGGCAGCAACTGATCAGAAATCCTTATTTTTCACAGACTATGTTCTATGCACAACACTGAAGGATGAAGACATTAAATATCTATCACTCAGCTCTTTCTGTGTGGCATTTTTGCACAGCCCCCCCCCCCCCCCCCCCACCCCCCTCTAAGACTGCATGAAAAAATCATGTAGCATCCCTTGATCAGCCTGTAAAGTATTTCAGGGAGCACTTAACAGGTTACATCATGCAGATGTGGTTCTTTGTATATTAGTGTTTGCCAAGTTCCGCTAAAGGAGACAGCCTGACTGATTTTTCTGGAAATATATATAATATATAATCATTCTGCATTATTATGTAAGATTAGTGAGAAAAGTTTAGGGATATTGGTTGTGTTGTAAGAAGGCCTGGGTTGGTCACCAATAGGGAGGTTTACAGAGGTTTTAGAAAGTTATTGAGTCAAAACCAAAAAATAATCACACTTTTAAAGTGAATTTGGTAAAATGCTATGGAAATAATGAACACGGCTTTATTCAGCTGCGTGAGTTGCTCAGCAATCCCCCGTCCCTTAAGTGTTGGCTGGAGGAAATCTCTTATATTTCTCATTAACTTAACCAAAGAAAATTGTGGTTCTTAAGAAAAAGGCCTCAGAAACTGGCAGTGTTACATCTACAGTACTATATCTGGCAAGGGAGAAGCCCGTCTAGGGAACTTAAGCTTTGATCCTGCATCAAGGGAAAGATGTGTCTAAAGGCATGAGAGAAGAATCCGTTGAAACCATGTAATGATGTAATGTAGACTCAGCTACTATAGTAGGTGATCTAATGCTGACAGTGGGGAAGTTTGTCCAAAAACTCAGCTCTATCTGTCAGCCCTGTACGCTACTGTTCCTACTGGCAGTTAGTGTGTACACAGTAGGGTTGTCAAAAGTATCGATATTCAAAAAAGTATCGATACTGAAACGTTGTATCCGGATACAATACTCGTTTTTAAAAGTATCGATACAGTGCCACCACCAGTGGCACCTAGCAGTCATTCATCTAAAGTGCAGAATAGAGTACAATGCACTTTTTAAACACTGTGTGATTGAATAATTCTGTGCACTTTTCAGTTTCAGACTTTTTTTTTGTAACAGGTGCAGCTGCTGAGAATTATTTTTGTTTCTTAACCGGTTGGGCTAGTGTCATTGTTATGTGTGCAAAGCAAAGCCAAGGAAGGAACACTTAATTTTAATTTTATAAGTTTTTTATCAAGCTTCCTTAATATTGTGCACAGCTAACAACCTCAAAATATTGTTCTTATTGTTTATTGTATTTATTTATTTATTGTATTTTATTTATTACTTAAAATATTTCTTTAGAATTTTGGAGTCTTTGTTTTTATCCTTGTGGTATCGAAAATGGTATCGAGTATCGAATATTTTCCTTAGTATCAGTATCGAGTTGAAAAGTTTAGTATCGTGACAACCCTAGTACACAGTGTGCCCCAGGACAGTTGTGGTTACAGTGTAGCTTGCCACCCTCAGTGTGTGAATGACTGGATGCGGTTTTAAGGCTCCTTTTTCATTCCTTGGCCTGAAAAGTTGATATTTAAGTACAACTGTATTGTTAAAATTGACTGCTACATATAAGGAGGATTTCCTGTCTCTCAGCTGAGCTGTTAACTGTTTATGTGGATTCTGTATTTTTAATCTAAATCCCTATTAAAATAATTAACTCATTTGATTCATTACAATCACAATAATTGTTATTATTTTTGGGTCCAGTCTGGTTTGGGGGAGGGTGTGGTTTTTGA